ACACATGTCTTGTGGAGCGCTTTCAGAGTATGCATTTATTTGTCATTTTAACTGTTTGGAAACAGAGCGTAAATGTGGAAGTGCTTCAAAGATTTCTCATCCTGTTGCGCCCTCTATAGGACCAGCGACTAGTCGACATCAAGCTTAAAGCATCATGGCAGAGCATTGAAGTCGACTAGTCGGTGCAACCCCTAAACAACACACACACACAGGTGCAAACTCACCTCTGCTGACATTGGCAAACGGCCCCTCCACGTCAATGAGACTGTGAGCGAATTCTGGACCTCTGTGTGTCTGCTGTAACTGCATCATACTGCCCATGGACGGCTCGCTGCCCAATATGCCACCACTCCAGTACTCACACTGAGTTCCTGCAGCTGCACACAGAGTGTGATTAATCCAAAATAAACGTTTTTGTGTAAATAATGTATGTGTGTATACTAATATATTTATTAAAGACAAACACACAGTATAAATTTAGAAAATATTTAAATGTATTTACATTTATATTATATATAAATATATTTCATATATTACATGCATGTGTGTGTATTTATATATACATAATAAATATACACAGTACACACACATATATTATGTACACAAAAACCTTTATTTTGGATGTGATTAATCGCGATTAATCATTGCCCAGCACTACAGATCAATAAATTAATACATAAATAAACAAATTAAATAAATAAACAATTAGACAGACAGACAGACAGACAGACAGATTCATACAGAAAGACAAAATAAAAAAATAAGACAGACAGACAGACAGCATCACTGAGACACTTGCTACCAACTCCAGAATACCACCGGCCCATTCACCCCTACATGCCCAGACATCCCCCTCCGGCCCCGGTGAGGAAAGACATCGCCTGGACAAACATCACACGTCGTCCACCACACCCACCAATGGCTCCCTACGCACCTGTAAACCAGCAGTCACCATCTTCACATCCACCTGCTGCCCAACAAACCCCAGTAAGAAAGAAGAAACCAAAAGCCACCCCACACCAAGAGAAGCCCCCACGGCTGAGAGCACAGAGCTATGCTGAAGCTGCAGCCCGGCCCCCTGCTGCACCCAGCACCTCCACACCTGCCAGCGAACTGAGTCAGATCAGAGAGATGCTGCAGACACTGTGCAACCAGCTCCTGAACATATAAGGACAATATGCACAAACACAGTGTGATAAGATTGACAAAAAAAATAAATGCACTAATGTAAATTGTTTACCATATACTGTACATTCTCACAGGTTATTTTCTCTCTGTCTTACAGAATAGGTTTATCTTTAATAATACTAATGCATTCATTTCATATAAGTTGTTGGAATATTCAGGGTCTTCATTCTTCAACTTTTGGTACTAAAAGCACAGACCCAGAATTTCTGAAAAATATCAAAGATGCTGATATTATCATTCTCACCAAGACCTGGTGTAGAAATGATGTGCTTACCTACTGTCCCTCAGGCTACTATGAAGTAATTGTGCCCTCAGTTAAATTAAGTACAGTGCACCGTGGACGAGACTCGGGAGGAATTCTGGTGTGGTACAGGGAAGCTCTGGCCAAGCACATTTCTATTATTACATTTGGAAAATTTCACTGCTGGTTAAAACTAAACAACCAAATTGGCATTTCAACTACTGACATATATCTCTGTGTCATCTATATTCCCCCAGCAGAATCCCCTTACCATGATGAGGAATACCTGAACAACATCCACACAGAGATCAGCCGTTTCCAGGCCCAGGGAAATGTGCTGCTGTGTGGAGACTTTAATGCAAGAACTGGATCTGAACCCGATAACATAGATCCAAAGGGCAATGAATATATCTTTGGCCAAAACTCCCCGAGTCTCACAAGAAAACTTCCACCGAGAAATAATCTTGACCAAACTGTAAATAAAAATGGTTCAGAGTTAGTGCACCTCTGCCGAGCTTTAGGCCTGTACATACTTAATGGCATGATCAGAGGGGACTCTAGGGAGGTTCACGTGTTGTTCAGGTCTTGGAGCTAGTGTAGTTGACTATGCCATCACTGACATGAACCCGTCCTCCTTCAGTGCATTCACTGTCAAACAGCAAACTCTACTTTCTGACCATAACCAAACTAACATTTATATGAAAACAAATCACACAGCAGAACAAAACAAGCTGGAAACCTGCAAAATGTATCAGGTCCAGCAGAGATACAAATGGACTCCAGACAGCACAGAACAATTTATCCAAGCCCTGAATTCTGAAGAACTGAAGAATCTAATCACTATATTTATGAATAAATTGTTTTTAATAACTAAAGATGGTGTTAATTTGGCTACAAATGAAATCAATTACATATTTCAAATTGAAAAAGAAAGGCAAAAAATTCACTAAAAAAACACTAAAAGATGAAAAATGGTTTGACTCAGACTGCAAAACATTAAGAACAACTTAGAAAATTATCAAATCTGAAACATAAAGAACCATACAACACCAACATAAGAACTGAATACTGTTCAAAAGACGGATCCTGAGCAAGTACAGGCTCAGTGAGCACAGTCTAGCCATCGAGACCGGCAGACACAGAAAGAGCTGGTTCCCCAGAGAGCAAAGAGTGTGTGCTCACTGCGAGACAGGAGAGATCGAGACTGAGACGCACTTCCTCCTTCACTGTCATAAATACATATCCGTAAGAAACCTCTACTTCAACAAATTCACCAACTTAATAAAGAACTTTACAGCCATTAGTGAAACAGAACAAATAAAGATAGTATTAGGAGAGTGACAGACAGCAGCACTGCATGGGAGATACGTATGTATGTGTCTCTGTATGTAAGACAAAGACTGTGGTATCAAATGTTCACATGTTATAATTTGTTACAGTTTAATACTTCTAAGATGTTATAATATTTCATTATATTACTGTGATGGTCATTTACTTATTAATATTGTTATTATATTATTATTATTTATCTTTTTGTACATGTATACTAAGCTTTGGCAATATTGTATCATTTACAGTCATGCCAATAAAGCAATTTTGAATTAGACAGACAGACAGATACATACAGAAAGACAAAATAAAAAAATAAAAATAAGACAGACAGATAGACAGATAGATAGATTCATACAGAAAGACAAAATAAGACAGACAGACAGACAGACAGACAGACAGATAGATAGATAGATAAAATAAGACAGACAGACAGACAGACAGATAGATAGATAGATAAAATAAGACAGACAGACAGATAGATAGATAAAATAAGACAGACAGATAGATAGATAGATAGATAGATAGATAGATAGATAGATAGATTCATACAGAAAGGCAAAATAAAAAAATAAAAATAAGACAGACAGTCAGACAGACAGATTCATACAGAAAGACAAAATAAGACAGACAGACATACAATCAGACAGACAGATAGATTCATACAGAAAGACAAAATAAAAAAATAAAAATAAGACACAGACAGATAGATTCAGACAGACAGACAGACAGACAGATAGACAGATAGACAGATAGATAGATAGATAGATAGATAGACAAAATAAAAAAATAAGACAGACAGACAGACAGATTTTAGATAGACTTCCACACTCTGCTTGCCTTTTGATCTCAAGAGAGTGTTAACTACGGCTACTCACAAATCAGGCAATCAATTGGACCTTATTTACACACGACACTGCTCCACTTATCATGTGCTGGTTACTTCACTGCACACCTCGGATCACTTCCTCCTCACTCTTAACCTCAACATGGTTCCTAACGCAACACATACCCCTCCACATGTCATCTTTTGACGTAACCTACGCTCACTCTCACCCTCCCGGCTATCTGCTACGGTTTCATCTTCGCTTCCTTCCCCTGAACAGTTGTCATCTCTTGATGTTAACAGTGCTACTGATACTTTATGCTCCACTCTTACATCTTGTTTAGACACTGTCTGCCCCTTGTCTTCCAGGCCAGCCCGTACCACCCCTTCTGCCCCTTGGCTGTCTGATGTTCTCTGTGAGCATCGTTCTAAGCTCAGAGCTGCAGAAAGGGTATGGCACAAATCAAAAAATCTACTGACCTTAATGTGTATCAGTCACTCCTCTCTTCCTTCTATGCTAATGTCTCCATTGATAAAAGGACATATAATCATAACAAAATTAACAATTCGTCTAACTCTTGCATGCTCTTTAAAACATTTTCCTGCCTCTTTTGTCCTCCTCCTCCCCCTCCTTCATCAACTCTAACAGCTGACGACTTTGCCACATTCTTCATTAATACAATTAAAACCATCAGTGCACAATTTTTCACACCACAATCTGTAAAGCACATCTTACCAGCAAACATACACTCGTTCGCATCCTTCTCTTCACTCTCTGAGGCAGAAGTCTCCAAACTCATCCTTTCTAATCATCCTACTACTTGTCCGCTTGATCAAGCCATTTCTCCTGCAGTTGTACCTGCACTCACTCACATCATTAACACATCCCTTCACACTGGTGTTTTTCCCTCAGCATTTAGATAGGCTCGTATAACCCCACTACTTAAAAAACCCTGAACCCATCTCTTTAGAGAACTACAGACTGGTTTCCCTTCTTCCTTTCATTGCAAAAACACTTGAACGAGCTGTGTTCAACCAAGTCTCTGCCTTTCTCACGCAGAACAACCTCCTTGACAGCAACCAGTCTGGTTTCAGAAGTGGACATTCAACCGAGACTGGCAAGAGTCTCTATTCTATCTGTTTTCTTTTTATTTATTATAGAATAAAAAAAAAAAACTTGCTATGTGTACTGCGTTAAGCTAACTGAGACTTGTTATAGCACTTGCATATCATTGCTCTTTTGTTGATTTTGATTGCTTCCATTGTCCTCATTTGTATGTCGCTTTGGATAAAAGCGTCTGCTAAATGACTAAATGTAATGTAAATAGATAGATAACAATTCATACAGAAAGAGATAAAATAAAAACAGACAGACAGACAGACAGATAGACAGATAGATAGATAGATAGATAGAATTATGGCCTGGTCAATACAATTTATCGGCACAGCACACTCACTTTTAAAGTGAAATGTACCAAACCAAACCTGACTAAAAATAGATAAATAGAGAGAGAACCAAAAAGCTACTTCCTCTTCCAAAGAAAGGTGAGTCAGTGTGACAAATCTAGATGATGCATCTTGACATGTGGATGCTCATTTTCGTCAGAAAGTGTAAAAATCTAGTTTCCCTTGTGAAAATTATCTGCCACATTCTTACTGGTGACAGTGGTGCGGTTGTCGTCTGAATCCGAGTCTGCTGGATCATAAATCTGAATGCCTTGAGCCTGCAGCTGTTGAAGTTTTGACTCCAGATCTCGTTTTGCCCGCAGCAAATCCTGAATTTCCTTTTCTTTAGTCTCCCGGAATATCTGCCGGGTGATTTGGGACAGAAATAAAGGAAACACACTGGTGAGGTAAAGAACGCACTGAAAACTAGAACAGCTACAGGTTAAAGAGGCATAATCTAAAAACAAAAGGAGTCAGACAGGAGCTTGTGAAGATTTAGGATTGTGAAAGGTAAGAATTAATGTGAGTCATTTAATGTGAGAGAGAGAAGGGAATAAGATTCACACCTTAAACTGCCGTTTGACCTTGTCTCTGTCATGTTCAAAGTTGGCAGCTCTCTCCATTGCTTGATACTTTGCCTCCAGGGCACTTTCCTTCTCTCGAAGAAACTTCTGGTAAGTCTTCTGAAGAGCCTGACAACCAGAAAAACACAGAATCAGCTAAACTTAAGTAGATTGATAGAAATGTTGAGAAAAGTAACATTCAAAAATGAATTAAAATGCAGTTCATACACTACATACAATGATTTGTATACACATCTTCTATGATAATACATGTTTTTGATAACTAAATAAAAAAATTATTTTGATATTTTTAGGGGGCCTAAAGTCAAAAAGTGTTATATCTTACTGAACTGTCCTGATATTAAAATGAAGGTAAACATAATTAAAAGAATGACATTTTGGGTATAATCTATCATAAATATTTATTAGGAAAAAAATAACAAAACTGCTTCATCGTTAACTAAACTAAAGTCATGTGTTGCAGCCAAAATTCATTAAAAACTTAAAACATCAAAGAAAATCACAGATAGCACCCTCATGACTGTGCAGCAAGGTCAATAAGCCTCTTATAATTTCAGATAATTTCACCTTTTAATCACAAAGATAAGGTTAGATCAGGCTGAAAAATATCATGTGATATGACTTCCCAAAAATTATATTTTTGAAATAAAGAAATAAATATTTTTATATATAAATTTTACCTTCAAAATTATATTGAAAAATGGATTAAGACGAGTACACTCACATGCATTCATAGTGTAATAAATGACATTTTCAGCCATTACACGTAATTTTTCTTGAAAATAGCATAAAAGCTTTGCAAAACCACAGAACCAAGATTAATATAAACAGTACATTTCAAAAAACTTGGCACATGTGTTTTAAGCTAGGCTAGATTTTTTTTTTTTTTATAATTTGTCATTGTTTTCCTTATTTTCAAATTTTTCTTTATTTCTGCCCAACACTCTTATTCATCACTGACCCACATGAAAAGCCCAGATCTTTTATTCTCTCTCAAACCTGCAGCTCAGCACGCAGTCTCTTGTTCTCCTCATCCAGCTTGGCTTCTTTCTTCTGCATGGAGGCGATCTCATTGTTCTTGCTGACCCTAAAGATCTCATAGTCTTTCCTGAGGCGCTCATACTCAGCCGCGTACTCCAGTTCAACTGATCCGGTAGATTTGAAGCTGGCGCCGATGACACGAGGCCCACGGCGGAAGGAGCTCCGCAGCAGACGTGCCTTTGGCTTCACCTCCACCGGTATCTCACATGCCTCCCCTCCCTCACCCCCGTACGCATCCTCAATCACCTCACCGGGGCTCACCAGGGAGGATGCCGTACCCATAACAACTGATGAGAGGTGCCACAAAGACACCTGTCAGCTAGATCACTCACACTCTTCCAGACTGAACATTGATGGTTCTGTTGGAAACAGGAAACACAAGCAGTGTGCATTAGCTCTGATACATTTAATCATGGATTGTATGTATAATTTGAAATTGTAGATCAAAAGAGTAGAACAGTAGTCCTACACAGGACTAAAACGTTTTGTTTTGCTGTATTTGAGAACTAGATATGTATGGCCCTGAGGTTAGTGTACTAGTATGCATTCATCTTTAAAACGTGTATGTCATCATTGCAAAAATCCATAAAAAAAATTGCATAATTCTGTCAGTAAAGTTAATGTATTGGAAATATATTCTGTGTACAGTGGCACAGCTAAGCCACACTTAAAAATGCTGTTATAAAACAAAATATCAAACCAAGATGTTGATTTGGTTTTAGTTAAGTTTTAAATGAAAAAAAAAAGAAAATTCGATTGTTCATAATTAAAACAATATGAATTTGTACAGTTTCTAGTTGTGATATTTGGTAAAAGATGTCCATCATTTATTTGATTAATTACAGCTATGGTATATATATATATATATAAATACCTTTAAGATTTAAAAAAAAAAAAAGTTTGTTAAGAACCCAAAACTAAAAGGATATTATGATATCTTTATTCCTTCTTGAGTTACAAGATTGCAAACTTTGGGTAAATAAATAAACAAATGTTGGCATTTAATGTAAGAAGGATTGCTTTCGTCAAATGATTTTACAAATAGACCAACCAAAAACGTAATTTTTGATTAGTAATATCCATTGCTAAGGACTTAATTTGGACAAATCTAAATGCGATTTTCTCAATATTTCGATTTTTTTGCACCCTCAGATTCCAGATTTTCAAATAGTTGCATCATTCTCGGCCAAATATTCATTTAATTTATTTACTTATAAAGCACAAATAAACACAACAAGAGTTGACCACTGTGCTGTACAAAAGAGGAAGGTAAAATAAAAAGGAATAATAATCAAAATAATACACTAAATAGAAGTTAAAATGAGAAAGAATTATAATGGATTAAATGCAAGAGTAAAAAGATGAGACTGTAACTTAGATTTAAAATCATATACAGAAGATGCAGATCTCACAGATAGGGAAAGACTGTTCCATAGCCTAGGACCGGCCACTGCAAATACACGGTCACCTTTCAACTTCAATCTTGATCTTTGATTTGACAGAGTAATACTGTCTGAGGATCGCAAGCATCTGGCAGACCTATTCACATTTACAAGATCTGACAAATAAGAAGGTGCCAGACCATTTAAGGACTTAAAACGAACAGCAAAATTTTAAATTCAACTTTATAACGCACTGGCAACCAATTAAGAGACATTTAAATCGGAGTAATGTGTTCTCGTTTACGAACCCCTGTTAAAAATCTGGCTGCGGCATTTTGGACCATTTGAAGCCGTGACATGGAGTATTGGGGTAGTCCAATATACAAGGAGTTACAATAGTCCAAACGTGCTAAAACAAAAGCATGTATGACTCTTTCGAGATCTTTAAAAGATAAAAAAAGATTTAACTTTTGACAGAAGTTTAAGATGGCTGCGGCATTTTGGACCATTTGAAGCCGTGACATGGAGTATTGGGGTAGTCCAATATACAAGGAGTTACAATAGTCCAAACGTGCTAAAACAAAAGCATGTATGACTCTTTCGAGATCTTTAAAAGATAAAAAAAGATTTAACTTTTGACAGAAGTTTAAGATGGAAAAAAAAACATGACTTAACTACTGAGTTAATATGTTGGTCAAACTTAAGGGAGGAGTCAAAAAGAACTCCCAAATCTTTCACGGTTGGTTTGATATAAGAGTTTAAATGATCATAGTTAAAATTTGGTTTTCCTTTACCCACAGAGGGTCCAAAGACAATTGCTTCCATCTTACCCTCATTTAAATGCCAAAAGTTGTTAGACATCCAAGATCTTACATCAGCTAAGCATGCAAGCAATGTTTCTAAACCATTCTTGTCATTGTGTTTTAAAGGTAAATAGATTTGGGTGTCATCCTATCCAAGAGTTTAAATGATCATAGTTAAAATTTGGTTTTCCTTTACCCACAGAGGGTCCAAAGACAATTGCTTCCATCTTACCCTCATTTAAATGCCAAAAGTTGTTAGACATCCAAGATCTTACATCAGCTAAGCATGCAAGCAATGTTTCTAAACCATTCTTGTCATTGTGTTTTAAAGGTAAATAGATTTGGGTGTCATCCTATCCTAACAAACCATACATCAATGGAAAGCTTATTTGTTTAGCTTTCAGGTGATGTCAAAACCTGGCTGGTTTTGTGATCCAGGGTCACAAATTATGATTGCGGAGTTGCTAAAGTTAGTTTCCTCCTTCTGTAATTTGGTTCACAATCTAAGGTTTACAATACAATGGATTACTAGGAGAAAGTGTCCAAATAGACGTAAATACTCATGGATGCCATTTAATATTTTAGCTTTCATCAATGCATGTTTGTCTTTCTTCAGAAAAAAAATTAACTAAATTAAAGCCAAGCAGTTTCTCAAATGTGGTTGATTTGGCACGGAATTACCGTATTTCTGTATCTGTGTTTACTCAGTTATGGGGGATTTTGTCACCTTTCTTTTTAAAAATGTGTTTATATTTTGAATGCGCGTTTATGTACAACATAATACATTATATTGTGTTTGCACTTACAGTGTCAGTTCCACAATGGAAATAATAATAAGAAGAAAACATTTATGAGAAGTTGAGATGAAGTATGAACTGAAGATCCTAAAAAGTCTGTGTATTTGGTTTAATTTGACATGTATTGTTGGGTTAGCATGTTGTTCACAACTTTTACAGTGTCATCAAATCAAACACATGGAGGACGTGGATATCTGCATATTTAATGATTAAACCTCACCTTAAACTGTGGTCTTGAACCCTGCGGTCATCCTGGAGACGATGTGCGGGACAGAGTGAAGAAAAACACTCCACCCAACCGAGAGGATTGAGGAGATCCAGGACGATGAATTTACTAAGACAGAACTGATACCAATCTTAAGACCCGAAATATATATCGATAAGTAACGTGTTCATAAACACGGCTGGCATATCAGTCAAAAAGCAAACAAACCATAATGATGCACACGTTTTCTCTCCAATGTCTTCCTGACAACCGCGTTACTAGGCACGCCTTCATCTACGGATCCACAGTGTGACCAAAAAGTGAATCTTTTCATTTCGTACGTAAACCTCGGTTTTCATCGTAAATTAGTTTGTAGACCATGGTCTGCCTATGTAATTTCCTTTTATAATAGAAGTTTATAAGTTAAGGTATAAGGACTGTGATTAACATTAACCTTACTTGATGTTTCTAAGTCGAAATACCCAATCAGAACAGTGTGACCAAAAAAATGCGTTTTCGTAAGTAAGCAAGTCAGTAGGCCTTAGGATGCTTGTGTAATTTCCTATTTAAATAGCAGTTTATAAGTTAATAAGGTCTGTGATTAACATTAACCTTAATTGATGTTTTTTTTTAAGTCTACCTTATCAGAACAGCTTGTTTGCACTTTTTTAAAACTAACTTTGTTAGCTACTATTTATGGAAGCCCGTTTCCGCCACAGTTGAGAAAAAAATATAATTCTGTAAGTCATAATGAGAAACTTTCTCGTAATGACTTAGTTTCTCGATCTCGTGAGAAACTTTCTCGTAATAATGACTTAGTTTTTCTTTATAATAAGAAACTTTCTCGTAATAATGACTTAGTTTCTCGTAATAATGAGAAACTTTCTCGTAATGCTAAATCATTATTATGAGAAAGTTTCTCATTATTACGAGAAACTAAGTCATTATTACGAGAAGGTTTCTCAATATAACGAGATACTAAGTCATAATTTTGAGAAAGTTTCTCATTATTATGACTTACAGAATTATATTTTTCTCAACTGTGGCGGAAACGGGCTTCCATAACTATTTACTTACAGATACTCAAAAACGATGTTGTCCATGCAGTCAATTTGGACAGGTAATTTTCCTTAAATTTCTAAATTGATTTTTCTAAATGTATGCATTGAATTCTTAGATACTTTCTTAGGCACTATATCAACAAAATCCATGTTTGCACACTGCAGAAGTAGCACAGAAGCTATCTGAAGTGGCATTTTAAAATAAAAATTTTAAATTTACAGAAAAGTTCACTTTTAATAATAAAGATTCCAAAGGGTGATCAGTTCTTAAAAGAACCTATTTTTCTTACTATGAGAAACATTTATTTATTTATTTATTTTTCAAAAAAAAATTTGTGAAATAGTATGGTTGTTAAAGGTTGTTCATGGAACCATCAATGACAATAAATAACTTTTATTTTTAAGAGTGCTGGTGTGTAAAATGTGTTTGTGGAGACCGTAAAAGATATGAGATTTTGAAAGAATATTTTATTTGTTCATATTTTAAACAACTGAAAGTATTTACAAAAAATTATATATGATCAATTATTTGATAAATGATAAATGTTGCCAGAATAAAAAGTAAAATAAACACAAACCCTACTCATTCATACATGTTGTAGAAGGAATCAAACTGCACGTCATGGTTCAACAAGTTTCTGAATGAATCGGTATGAATTCAGCCATACCTTTTCCACTTCTACTTTCACACTAAACCTTGTTTTACAGATACTAAGTTTCAGTATGTCTGGTAGTTAACCGCTGAGAAGATGTCGTTGCATGTCTTGTCTGATCATGTGGTGGATTGTTCATCTTTGGGGTTTCTGCCACAAAGCTGCAGCAGGGTCTCTTGGTAATTTCTAGCCAGAAAGAAGTACATGACAGGATCCAACACGCCACTTACGCATGTTAAAGCTGAGGTGATGCGATTTCCTAAATGCAACATTTGTCTTTCAGATTCTGACCTTGACATGTCGTCATGCTGTAGGATAAATACAAATCGGTGGATATGATAGGGCACAAATGCAATCAAGAAGTTAACCACGGTTAGAACGATCATTCTCATTGCCTTACGCTGAGCAGGCGTCCTTTCTTGAAAAGTCATCTGTTTTACTTTGGCAAATATGAGAATGTAAGAAATGCTCAGGGTGACCAGGGGTATCACAAATGCAATAGCAGTGGACACCAACGCACCGGTGGGATTGGAGGACTTCTCTATGTACAGCTTTTCACACACTGTCACATTCTGCATTTGTCTAGTCACTTCTTTTTTAGAGAATAGGACAGGCAACATGGAAATAGTCACCATGACCCACAGCACTGCAGAGACCACTTTGGCATTCCTGGTCTTTCTCAGATTGTGAGTTTTGTGTGGTACAACACAAGCCAACAGACGGTCTACACTGATACAAGTCATGAAGTACATGCTGCAGTAGAGGTTGACGAAGAACAGGAAACCAACCACGCGACAGGCGCCTTCACCAAGAGGCCAGTGACTGTCTGACATGTGGTAGATCACTCGCATGGGGAGCACCAAGACGTAAGACATGTCCGCTATAGCCAGGTGCTTCAGAAACTCTTTGGAAGGGGTGTTGTTGGTGTTGCGGTGGCAGAACACCCAAAGTGCCAGGGCATTACTCGGGACTGAGAGGATGAAGATGACAATGTAGAAGGTTGAGAGCAGGATGTTCTCCAAGTGAGAGCTGAGGTAAATCCCCTCCATGGAGTGATTCGACAAAGCGCAGGTCTATACTATGAGACTGAGCTTCTGTTTGGAGAATGGCAAGAGTCAGAATAAGTATCAGATATTATAACTAGCTTATCTATGATAATGTATAAAAAAAGTTTGGAAATGACTGTATTCTGTGTTGTTATTATTATATAACAGTAGAGTCATTGGAGCTATACATTCACAAATTGAAGTGTGGGCATTTTACAAAAATGTTTAACAAATCAAAATTTTAGTTTTAGATTCTTTAGTAGCTACCATTTGCCTACAGTTCTGCACACTATGTATTCAGTAAAGTGTGTCCAACTTTTGACCCGGTTTTAGCAAATGTATTTTCTCCAGAACTGCAGAAAGTGACACAGTGATTGTTGAAATGGTTTTTTTCAAACAACTTGACTAGCAATTCGACTATATGCCTTTGAACTTAAAAGGTCTATTTATATGATAATACTGCTTTATTATTATTATTTAAAACAACATCAACAACGAGAAATGACCAGACATTTTTGATTAAATAATGTGTATATATATTTATAAAGTGTATTGGCATTAAGAACTTTAAGTCAAACAACATTCAGTTTACCAAGGTAAATGGTAAAATCACTGTTAAAAAAGCAACATTTTAAAAGTCACTAAGAAAGCATTTTTCCTTAAAAAAAAAAGGTCAACGATATTAATATCATTATTAGTATTGCTCTTATTATTTCCGTACTTACAAGTAGGTTATAGTCTTCCCCAGCAGCCAGCACATTGACTATAGCCTCCTTTGGCTATAGATCAAATTAATGTTGTGTTTGCTCATCTGTTTCCTCTTTTAGTCATATGCTTTGACTTCATGTAGGAGGTATCACACAAAAATGAATTAGCCCTTCTACAACATCCCCATTAACACACACCACCCTCTACTGGTCTCTTTACCTGCTGTATGTGATGATTGATCTTCTTCATAACAATTCTTCATAAAACAAACCTGGTGTTGTTCAAATTTACAGTAACGTTGAAGCTATTTGTGTGCAAATCCACTTAGGCTAGGGTTTATTAAGTTATAAAATAGCAGTAAGAAAGCTGGTCATTTATGCAGTATGTGGAGATCAAAATTAGAGAACAACCTACAATTTCCTAAATTTCGAGGTCACTACTTAGTCATATTTGAAGTTATCCTAACAGGAGCAAAAGCGCCATTTTTAAGCATATTTCACGAGTTAAATATATTCTGAAGCACAGTATAAAAAACTTAAATGAGATATTTGAAAAAGAACACTGATCAAAATTAGAGAACACTTTCAGATACATCCCAATTATTGCTGTTAATATGGTACCTGATGCTAATTTCCTTAATTATATGACAAACCCTATTTAACTGGCAGCCTAACTTTTCAGTTTTCACTGACTTTAAAAGATGGTGAGCCATTCTAAAGTGACTGAAACCCTCCGACAGCAGGTTAGATGTAGGCCAATAGCAGATACAGCAAGTTGGCCGTTCCAAATCTGTGATTTCTAGAATATTGGCATCTTTACAATGCCACTCAATCAAGTCCCCCAAAAAGGCTAGTCGTCCACAAAAGACAAATGCACAAGAGGACAGGATAATGCAGAGAATCTCAATCTCAATCGGTTCAACACTGCAGCTGGAATTGCTCGCCAGTTCAGTGCTGAACAGGGTAAGGATTTGTCTCGGCATATAGTGTCTCAATGTTTAAGAGAATTTGCACTAAAAGTGCACTCTGCAGTGATGGGTAAAGCTGAAAACATTAAAATAATGAAACGGCCAGCTCTGAGTCCTGATCTAAACCCGAATGAAAATTTCTGGCTAAGTTATGGCTAAGAAACCCACTACAGTCACCAAACTGTGGAAGAGACTGGAAGATCACACCAGAGCATTTTGATCGCTGTGTTTTCCAAGGGTTTTTGTTGAAGTGCCTTGGTTATTTTGTAAAACACTGTTCTACTACTGTTTTGCTCCCGTAGTCCTTCCTGTGTTTCCTTATTTGGTCATGTTCCTGTCCTCGTTTAGTTTGATTAAAGTGAAAGTGACGTATACTCGGAATTAGTGCTCTGCATTTATCCCATCCAAAGTGCACACACACAGCAGTGAACACACACACACCGTGAACACACACCCGGAGCAGTG